GCTCGAGTGTTGGGTTTAAGGTAGGTTCAAGGGCAAGGAGTTCTTATGTAATTTTATTAGTGGTTTCGCCACCATAGACTGACACATATGAGGGAAATATTTGTTTCCTTTAGTCATTGAAGATGCAAAGATGGATTAAGGTATTGTTGTGTACGGTTATGCACACTTATTTTGTTGATTTGTTAGTCTCAAGTCTCGTTTGTCTTGGATATGTGAAACTTCGAAATTGCTGTAGGTGAGTGTATTCTTTGCCTGAAATAACGTGGAGAACACTTTTTGTGACCTCTCAATAAGTGTTTATTCCACTTGTGATCCAATCCCATTTTTTAAACGGAAATGTAATGGGAGGGTATCAAACCCCTGGCGTCATATATATATATATATATATATATATATATATATATATGGTTTCCACTCATACATTTTTCAACAGGTCGCCCTGAAGACGTTAATAGTTATTCATAGAACGATAAGAGAAGGTGATCCCACATTTAGAGAGGAACTCCTCAATTTCCAACAAAGGGGCCGTGTCCTCCAAATGTCTAATTTCAAGGATGATTCAAGCCCCATAGGTAATTATCTGTTTTTTTCTATTCCTGCCTTTTTTTTTCTTTCTTTTTCTTTCAAACTTCTGCTTCCCTCTTTGGACTTTTATAATAACAGTAGTGCTGAGAACATAAATAAATAAGTAACAAGAGTAGAGCAAGAAAATAATTATCCCGTAAGAACTAGAATGAGGCATATTTCTTCTTATCTGCAGCTTGGGATTGCTCTGCCTGGGTCAGAACGTATGGAGTCTTCTTGGAAGAACGTTTAGAGTGCTTTAAGATACTTAAGTATGATATTGAAGCCGAGCGTCTTCCTAGACCTGCACAAGGAGAAGATAAGGTATGTTTTTAGTTTTTTTTAACTGTTACTCGTATACTTATTTCTTCGTCCTTGTATGTGTTTATTTCTTTTTGACCTATGCATGATAGGAGTTTGCATTGTGTGAACTCAATTGTTAATGTTGAACTTATAAGCCGATAATATATTCCTATCATGAAAACTGAATAGTGCTTCTACAGTTCTACTAGATGATATTATAAAAAGCCTATAGCTGTAGGTCTTATTGCACGGCAACCATTTTGTCACTTTATTTGCTTGTACAGTTCTACGGAAATGGTGTCTGATTTAAATAGCTCAACCCGAACTCAGCTTTGTTGGTTGTACCTTATAATATAAATTGAGAGATGTTTCTTGTTTTATATAATCTATTGCCAGGGTTACGGTAGAACTAGAGACTTGGACAGTGAAGAACTTTTAGATCAGTTGCCTGCTTTGCAGCAGCTGCTATATCGTCTTATTGGATGTCGGGTACTCTTCATCTCAAGGCCATCTTGTCTTTATATGTTCCTTCCTTTCTCACCATGTTGTAATTTCTGAATTTTTAATTGCATAGTAAGTTAGAACACATATAACAGACTGTTTATGTATTCTTAGCCTGAAGGAGCAGCTGTGGGCAATTACGTGATTCAGTACGCCCTTGCCTTGGTATGTGGTCTCCCATTTCACCTTCCATCGCCAAATTGTGTTTATACATTGGTGTTTCAAAGTAAATGGAAAATAAAAAATGAAAAAAATGAATACGACTCTTGTGAATTTTAGGTACTCAAAGAGAGCTTTAAGATATATTGCGCCATAAATGATGGGATAATCAATCTTGTTGACAAGGTGATGTATATGTGTATATATATTATATCCTAGTATTCTATGTGTTTTTAATAGATGGATTCGCATTTTCCTAATCATATTAAAAATCTGTCCTCGTCGTTTCCTGATTATATATCCAGTTCTTTGAGATGCCAAGACATGAAGCCATGAAAGCACTAGATATCTATAAAAGAGCTGGACAGCAGGTAGGTTTCTTGCTCTGCAGATTTTTTTCAATTTCAGAATTCTTATGTTTTCTGGAGAAATAAGATTTTAATGGTGTGTCATCGTAAATGGTTATGCCCTGATTGCAGGCCAATAGTCTATCCAATTTCTATGAAGTTTGTAAAGGACTCGAACTTGCCCGAAATTTCCAGTTCCCCGTGTTGAGAGAGGTAAAGCACCCGTAAAACAATTTGGTGCTTCCATATTCTAAATATTATTATTTTTTGGCCCAGATGACGGGTTCTTATAACTTTTTACTGTTTTGCTGCTTCCAGCCTCCACCGTCTTTTCTAGTGACCATGGAAGAGTATATAAAAGAAGCTCCTAGAATGGTTTCTCTTCCAAGCGTGACCTTGGTTAGTCGTTTTGTTCGAGTGAAAAAATTATTTAGTAGCATATCTTTTTCATGTGCATAATATGATACTTTTTTTAAACTATATTAGGAGTATCCGGAAAGGTTGATGCTTACATATAAAGAAGAGGATAATCCTCCACCTAGTGAAGATACAAAATTGACGGAGGAGGAACCTATGCCGCCGCCGCCACCACCGGCGGCAGAAGAAATTGCCATCCCAACTGTTGAGGCAGCTGTTCCGCCACCTCATCCAACCAACTTGGGCACAGATGATTTACTCGTGAGTTCCTCAATATTTGTTTTTTACTTACTTGATACTTTTTTACGGTGTTAATTAATTCAAAATAAATAAATTATTTATAGGGGCTGAACGTAACTACAGAAGCTGCATCTGTCATCGAGGAAAGAAATGCGCTGGCTTTAGCCATAGTTCCATCTGGTCAGTAGTCAGTGTGTTCCGACTGATATCTTTGAATGATTAGACGCGTCACAAAGTTGTTTCTTTCATCACACTTTAACGATATTACGTTATTTGCACGGGTGCAGGCACTACAACATTTTCCGATTCATCACAAGCAAACAAATTCGATCCCACTGGATGGGAACTTGCCCTTGTTACCGCTCCCAGCGCCAACTTATCATCAGTTCAAGAGAGGCAATTGGTATGTCTTTCGTGTTTCACCATGTGCAAGACGATACCTTTTTAACTTTTCCTTTTATTTTTTTATATTTTTTTTTGATGGTTTTTATTCGTTTGGTGTGGGGTTGAAATGGCAGGCGGGTGGACTGGACACGCTAACACTAGAAAGTTTATACGACGAAGGAGCGTATAGAGCATCACAAAGGCCAGTATACGGAGCTCCTACTCCTAATCCGTTTGAAGTTTCCGATCCTTTTGCTATGTCTAACAATGTTCCGATGCCTCCATCTGTTCAAATGGCTACTATGCAACAGAACAATCCATTTGGTCCATTTCAGCAGCAGTCTTCTTATCCACATCAATTCCAACAGCAGCAGCAGCACTTACAGATGGGCCCACAAAACCCGTTCGGCGATTCTGGGTTTGGATCGTTTCCTACTCACCCTCAGACAGCAGCAAATCCATTTGGGGGTAGCAGCCTTTTGTAACGAAATAATGCACACACCACCACACATAGTGAATGTAATTTTCTCGGCTTTATTTAGTTGATTCTTTCTTTATTTTATTTTATTCTATTATATATATATAGATATATATGTATTTGAAGAAAATGAGTGTGAAAAGAGTTGATGATGATGATGATAATGTGTTGTTGATTCAATGGGAAGCTGGTTCTTGACTTTGTCTTGAGTTGTAAAAATAGTTGTTGGGCTCTCTGAAAAATATGTTTTAACTGTTACTTGTTATGATACTGAGTAGTAACCAGTGATTTTTTTATTTATTTATAATTCTTGTACTAATTATTAATATGTTTGACTTGCTTTGACCTTTGATATTATGTTTGATGAATGTTAAAAGAAGCCAGATAATGTAATTATGCTACATCAAAAAAAAGATAATGTATTATTCATTATGATGTCGGTGCATGCGGATGGTAATCAAGTGTTGTCATCTCTTCACACAATTTTTGTTTTTTAGCCGACAAAAATAACTTTTTTTTTTTTTTTTTTTTTTATATAATTTGTATATTTATTTTCCTACATAATTTAGTATATTGAATATGTCATACTTACTTTGACTAAAACAATGTGAATGAAAACTTAATTCACATGTTTTATTTTTGTTTCCGATCTTTTTATTTTTACTTTGAAGCAATTAAGAGTTGAGGCGATAATGTCAAGAGTAAAAATCACACACTTTTGTTTGTTGTTATATACGGAGTAATTAGGATTATTTGACAAACTCCATTATATTCATTATTGTCTTATTAAGAGAGGTTCAACAAAATTTCCCATTTTTTATATAAATCCAACATACTTTTTAATTAATCATAAATAATATAATTCACTATTATACCATTCACCTAACTCTATAACCTAACTCAATCTTTTTTTTTTTGGGGAAATGAGAGATAACCCCCTAGTTTTGAAAATATATAGGGATATGTCCTATGAGTTTTTCCACCCTAGCAAAAAACCCAAATTTCAATCTTAATTTGACAGACCCTGAACAATATGAAATACCAATTATACCCTTTCACAGTATGAAATAAATACCAAAACCCTAGTCGTCCACATCATTTCAACCCACAACCACCCCCACTGGCCACTTCTGCTCTGTCTCTCTCTAGATATTTTTTCCGATGCTTTTTCTTCTTCCCAGATTCATGTTTTTCTCTTTCTATAGCTCTCTCTCACACTCAGCCTCTCTTCGCCGTTCGATCCGCCTCGAAGTTGCCGCCGCGAGACCCGAAGCCAAAGTAAAGGAAGGGGAAGCCATTCAAACCCTAAATCTCGTTCTGACATTTCTCCGTCGTCGCTTCACCGCTTCGGATTTCCGCCACTCGAAATGTTCTGTTACGCCACCGTCCCCATCTTTAGCCACCGGTCCTCCGACGATGTGATCCAGCGACGCCTTTGCTCATTTGGCATCCTTTCCTCCGATCCAAACCGTAGGCCGTGGCATAGCAATTTAGGGATTTCTCGCAAGGCTGCTTCCTCTACACGATTCCTGCCGCACTAGCGCAACAAGCCACCGCGAGATCGGAACTTGTCACTTGAAAATTTTGAGGTCGCCGATCTGTGATAATTTGTTGTGATTCACAGTATTTGTTGTTTGTGGATCTTAATTTTATTTTGATAAATAATTAGTTTTCAATTTCTCACTCACATTCTTTCTGGATAGTGCAAAATAAAAAATTATAAATGTTTCATGAACTAAGTCTTACTTTTGCATAATGCTAAACATTCTTTGCAAGCTACGCCCATAGTTGTCAGTACATATCGGGCAGCAAGTTCTGTATCAATAGAAGAGAGTGTTTTGTGTATGTGATTTTAATTTTATTAATAATATTAGTTGTATTGTGTTTGATGTTTTGTCTAATTGTTTTGATTTTTTTTGTCCTTTAATTAATTTTTGGTGAACTTGTTTGGATAATGGATTTATTGAGTTTTTTTTTTCTTTTTTTTTTTATAATCGGTGACGTTGTTGCTTTGATTTGACTATGATTGGCCATATCTGAGAAAAAATAAAAAATATAGCTTTTCGTATAGGTTCGATGTAATTTGCATTTTCCATTTTTCTTTTCGTTTTCTCTAACTGGTATTTTCTTGCTACAGGGATTGTTGTTTTTGCCACTTCTATACAATAAGAAATGATGGGGAGAAGTGTTTTACTACATGTTACTATAGTCATATATGGTAACATGACTATATGTTACTATAGTCATATATAGTAACATTAGTACATATATAGTAACATGACTATATGTTACATAGTCATATATAGTAACATTACTACATGTTACTATAGTTAGTAACATGACTACATGTTACTATAGTCATATATAGTAACATATAGCTAGTAACAAGCAGTCATGTCTGAGTTATGTGTGTTTTTAATATAGAGTGATGATGATGATTTGTTCTTTATTGAAGAATATATGCATGTGATTGTGTATTTCGATCTATATTTGTACAGTTTGATAAATAATATCAAGATTTATTTCGATCTATATTTGTACAAGTTGATTGATAATATCAAGAATTAAATTGTGATTTTTGTTGTTGGTGTCGATGAAGTTTTTTTTTTTTTTTTTGTATATAATCAGCGGTTTACATAGTCGGTCGACTATATATAACTATATAATTTTGGGGTGAAAAAAAGGTACATGACTAGATATAACTTTGGAGTAAAAAGAAGGTACGTGACTATATATACTATAATCACCTATAGTCAATTTATGTACAGGAAATTTTATAGAAAAAATATTTTTTTAAAACTAAAAAAATTAACAAAAAAAAAAACTCAGAAAAATTTAAAAATTAAAAAAATAAAAAAAATTTAAATAAAAAATAAAAATTAAAATTAAAAATGAAAAATAATAATAAAATAAAAATTTATAATTTATTAAAAATTCTAGAAAAATGATAAATGCAGCTCCAAAAATGCTAAATGCAGTTGGCTATTATGCTGAATGCAGTTGGGCGAAAATTACAAATAAGGGCACAATAGTACTTTTGCCTCTCCAGGGGTTATCTCAAAGAAATAATTTTAGGGGTAGACCTATCCCTATATATTTTCCATTCTAGGGGTGTATATCAAATGGATCCTTTTTTTTTTCCTTCAAATTTCTCCCCTTTCTTTTCTTTCAGCAGTAGCCGCCTCTTTTCCTCCACATTAGCAACGATCTCTTACCCCCAAATCTGGAGAAAAAAAGAGGGCCTAGATTTAGGGGGAGATACTAAGAGGGTGTTTGGCTAAGCTTATAAGATGTTAAATGGAGCTTATAAGATGTTTTAGAGCCTATAAGCTCTTCCAAAATGTGTGGTAAATTAAAAAAAAAAATCTTAATTTTTTTTTAAATAAGCTGTTGGAGAGCAAATAAGATCTTTTTAAAAAAGTACCCCTACCCCACCTTTTTATTTAAGATCTTATAATGAGTAAAAATAGGAAATAAGCTGATTATCCAAACACTTTCAAAATTAATCCTAAAAATAAGATGTAACTGCTTATCAGCTCTAAAAACATCTTATCAAACGTAAGAGCTTATCAGCTGTTTAATATAAGCTTAGCCAAACACCCTCTAAATTTATATTAATCAATTAAAGCATAGTTGATTAAAGAATCAACTAATTTAATAATGAAATTAACTACTAAAAATAAATAAATAAATAAATAAACCATAATGCCGTCATGAAAGCCAACACAATTTAAGAGAACTCAAACAATAAAAAACAACAAAAAAAATAACAAAAACAATTATAAAAATTACGAAAACCATCAATTTTTACAAAAAAATAAATATACAAAAATCGTAGTTGATTTATTCAAATTGGAAGACAAATCGATAATGACATAACTAAAAAGCACCATTGTTTTGCCCCAAGTCGAACTACACGTGGTAAAATAAGGAATCGATAAACAAAAATCCAAAAATAGATTACAAATTGTGTCGATTAACTTAATCGACTAGTAAAACGTAATTAATTTTAAATCCAACACAGTTCTGCCCGAGCCCTGTCGCCAACCTCCACCCGCGCCGTCCTCGGCGCAATCGAAACGAAAAAACCCCTTGAGCGCCGCCATGAGATCAAGGGCTCCCGAGGTTTGGCGGCATTATGTGGATTCGTTAACTTCCCCCCTTGTACGATTTTAGCCCCGCCCTCTATTTCAACCATTTCCCAAAAGTCATGTTTAATTTCACTACTTCCCCTTTTTTAATTCAAAAAAAAAAAAAAAAAGAAAAGAAAAAATCTGTCCAGCTAATTACTAAAGGCATTTTCACTAATTATTAAAAAGTAGAATGTTCTCTATCACATAAATTTACGAAATGAGATAATAATGCTAATTTTCCCATTTTAATTATTATAGAGAAAAAAGAAGAAATAAAAGATAGACAAATATGGGTATATAATATGATGAGGTCCAGCATCTTTGCAACCTTGTATGGGTCCCATTCCATTTGATGCTCATTAAAGAATATTGAAATGATTAAAAAAAATAAAAAAATAAAGGGTTTTTGGCACTTTGCATCCTTGAGTTACATTATTTTGGCACTTTGCACCCTTAAATTATATAATTGGCAGATTGCACCCTTTAAACATATTTTTTTGGCAATTTGCACCCCAAATCATTTTTGGCTTAGAAAACTTACCTGCAACTTGCTAAGAAACTTGGAAGATGGGCAAATTCATAATTTTCTTATTATCTATCACCTTTCCCCAATTCTTAATCATCGTTCCACCATATCGTACGTCCCTTTAATAAAAAAATCTTAAAATCTTTTTAGCCATTTCTTTCAATTGTAAATCAGTATAAACACTAAACAATAATAGTAAATCACTTTTTTTTTTCGGTTTTGAGTTTAAAAAAATAATGTAACTAGAAATTTTAGGCCGACCCTCAAATTTTTTATTTTTCTTTTGAATAGTCAAATGAGATATAAGGCTACTAGGAGGTTTATTTGGTGGTAGAGATGTGGTGCCTATTAGTTTCATCATGGGAGGAATTTTGTGCTCCCATTGAATAGTTTTGATCTGAAAAATGACTAAAAATAATAGCGTTATCATGGAATAAAACTTGATCTTCTGAAGGTGTGTTATCGGACTCTTGTCTATATATTTCGGTCATTTTTGGGTTTTAGTTCAAAATTTACATATTAGGGCAAATAGAAATGGCTAAGAAGAATTTAGGATTTTTTTGATTTAAAAGACGAAAGATAAAAATGGTGGAACGATGATTAAGAAATGGGAGAAGAGGATAGATAATTAGATAGTTACGAATTTGCCCATCTTCCAGGTTTTCAACAAGTTGAAGGTAATTTTCATAAGCCAAAAGTGATTTGGAGTGCAAAGTGCCAAACAATTTATGATTGAAGGGTGCAATCTGTCAATTTCGTAATTTAAGGATGTAAAGTGCCAAAATGGTTTAATTCAAGGATGCAAAGTGCCAAAAACCAAAAAATAAATGGAAATCTCACTTGTTCAATTTGCACTACAAATTCCCTCCAAGATCTAACTTAACTGCACCTCAAAATTTTACCAACTAAATATGTACAAACGAAATTATTGAAATTTTCCACACTCAATTCTTTTGTTCCCTTCCCCAAATTTCCAAATCTTCTTTGTCTCTATTTTCTCTGTCTATCTTCTTTTCCTTCCCTCTCTTTCTCTCTCTACATTTCAGCTCTGCTTCTTCTGATTTTTTTCTATTAACTAATGTTCATCACTTTTGTCTCTATACATACATCAGAACTATACAATAAAAAAACACGTCTGCTGCAAATTAAATAAATTTGCAACCATGTTAAACACCAACAAGATTACACTTGTTCTCACATATGCAGTTCTTGAATGGGTACTCATATTTCTCCTCCTCTTAAATTCTCTATTCTCTTATCTCATCATCAAATTTGCAAACTTCTTCGGCCTTCAGCCTCCGTGCTTATTGTGTAGCAGAATCGATCATATCTTCGATCATCAAAATCTAAACGGTAGCGATCTGTTATGTGATGTTCACGCGAGGCCGATTTCCGAATTGGGATACTGTTCGGCTCGTCGGGAATCGTCCGAATCTCGAGAAACGTGTGGCGATCGATTGTCTGTATCTGGTAATGGAAATAGGGTTGTAATAATAGATAAGGAAAGAGAAGGTCGTGGTTGTATATCAGTATTTGTTAATGAGAAGAATAATCATAAAGTTTTCGATAAATCTGTCCAAGATTATGTCGAAGAAGATGCTCGGGTTCGAGTTTCGTCGGATGAGCATCTAGAGTTCTTTGTGGACGACAGTGGTCGTAGATTGGTTAGAGTCGAGTCGATAGATTCGATAACAGAAGAAAGTCGTAACAAAGATAATGCAGTTCTTGATGTGGATTTAAATGAGGAACCTGAATTCGGAATTGAAGACGAGGATGGAAATTCTCCGATTTTTCATGCGGAAAACGGCCATTCTATGGAAATCAATGCCGCAGGTATTTAAATTTTATTATAATTGCCTTTTGAATTTTTCACACTTGGGATTCTAAAATTTGTTTTTGTTATCATCAATTCAAGAAACAGAGTTTTATGCTTCTCCGACGAACAATATTCGGTCGTTATTACAGTTGGATCTAAACGAAATTGAAGAAAATAGTCTCGATGATCAATTGAAAATTATCGAAAGGTTAAAATCGGAGCTAAGGGAAGAGCGAAATAATTTGGAGAGTTTGTATTTGGAGTTAGAAGAAGAGAGAAGTGCTTCCGCGGTTGCAGCCAATCAAACGATGGCAATGATCAACCGACTACAAGACGAAAAGGCGGCCATGCAAATGGAAGCGTTTCAGTACCATAGAATGATGGAGGAACAATCCGAATACGATCAAGAAGCTCTTTATACGTTGAATCAAGTTGTAATGAAGAGAGAGAAAGAGAAGCACGAGATCGAAAAGGAGTTGGAGTTGTGTAGGAAGAAGCTTTTGGATTACGAAACGAGAGAAAAGACGAGGAGGGTATTGAAGAAGAGTAGTACTAGTAGTAGTAGATCGAGTGGATTTTTTTCGTCTCCTTGTTGTAGTAATTCCGAGGAGAGCGACGGGTTTTCGGCCGATCTAAATGAAGAGGCGAAAGAAGAATCATTAGCCGATTTCGAGGAGGATGAATTCGAGGATGTTGGAGAAATATCGAGGCGGCATTAAGAAAAGATCTTGCAATATGTAAATAACAATAAACATGATGATTTTTACAATTTTTATATATGCATGCAGATTTTGTTAAGACATGAATTTAGTTACACTTGAATTTGTTTTGATGGTCAGTTTTGTGGGTCTTATGTTTTTGTATAGATAAATTAAGGGAGTGGGAAAGAGGAGTGATGAATGCATGTGTTTGTAGTTTAGTGAGAAGAAGAAGAAGTAGCCACCCTGTCATTTTTGTATGTTCTGCAAGTAAAAAAGACTGTCTGTCTGCCTATGAAAGATGAATAGATCCAACTAAGATTCCAGTTGCCATGTTCATATGTATATATATCCAGTGGGCAAGCCAGTGTAGGGCCGGGGGCATTGCCCCCTTAAATTTTAATTTTATTTTATATATATATATATATATGGGCCTATGGCCTTTGTATTGTGCTTTTATAATTTTAAATACATTAAAGTAAACAAAAGAAAATAATAAATTAGTGTAACAAATAAGATAAGAAGGTTACGATTTGTGGCTTGGAACCAGGGGTAAGTCCATCATTAGGCAAGGGTGTGGACTCAAGTGACCCTTAATTGAAAAAAATCCACTATATTGCACCTATATATTTAATAAATCCACCTAATTTTTATTATTTAGTCTACCCAAAATCAAAACGAATTCAAAGAAATTCATAACATTTTCTTATCCTATCTTCTGTTTTGTTTGGAACAAAAAATTAATAAATGTTGCGCTGCCCCTAAACTCTAAAAAAATTTAAACATACACTGTAGCAATATCCTAAATTCTCCACTCTTAAAATAATATTTGCTGTTATTAATTTCTCTATGTTACTTTTTATTTACATTTTTAATATATATTCAGTGCACTAGTGATAAAGTCCTGACTTCACCACTCTATATATCTATATATCATAACGTCAGTTAATAAAGGAGGCAAAACATTGCTTTCACAAAGAATTATGCTTAAAGAAGAAACAAACTTTATGGTGGTATTTGCACTTTCAACTATAATACATCAATTAACATGATGAATTTAGTTTACAGCTTAGAGAAATGATTGCAAAGTAACATGCATACCTAATTCACTCATATTCTCTCCATATTACAACAATGTGGAAGTCATAATGCAGAAATTAAAGCAAATCCTATTACTCTCCCTGTGTTGTGCTTTGTCTATTTATATGCAAAAAAGTCTCATATATATTTCCTTTTTTTTTTTTTTTTCCAAAATAATATTTTATTGCATTAAAATTTTAGGTCCCTTGTTCAAATATTGGGTGGCCTACCAAGGAAAGAGTGACCGTGTTGCAATATATAAGCCAATTGCAATAAAATATAGCAGTCAAAGACGACTCGACTAACGAATAACATACATAATTATATAGATGAAACGAGCCAAGAAAATATGAGTTTCTGAAAATCTCTGGGCAAATTTTGATATTGGTAATAATCATGAAACGAGCCAAGAAAATAAGCTTCTCTAGCCAACGCATCAGCCACCTGATCATTTTGCTCACTAATAAATAAAAGAGAAACCCTACTCAGGCCCGTTCCTGAGAATTCGGGGGCCGAGATTTAAAGAACAACTTAAAACCGACTCCTATTTAACAAATCAATTTTATTAGAGGGTGTTCGAAATTAAATATACTAAAAACATATAATTTTTTTATAAAAATGTTGGAATAAAAGATTATTATATAAAAATAATTTGGGGGCCTCCCCTCAGAACCGGCCCTGACCTTACTAAGTTTTGGCAACAGTTTCTTGATTTTACGAACCACGTACATAACCTCCCAACGTGATTCTTTATGCATATTCAATAACTGGACCGCATCATGAGAGTCCGACTAAAAAATCACGTTAGATATACCCAACTGCTCACATATCTTAACTCAATCAAAGATAGCTTCCAACTTTCCAGCAAAAGCAAGAATGAATCTACCTTCTGAACAATGGCGAGTCCATGAATTTGTTACTGGGTGGGCTTAAATTTTCGAAGGTTCGGGGGCGCCCCTAAAATTTTCTTAGGACCTTTTTTTTTTTTGCGATAAAATCAGAAAATAGGAAATGAAAAAAAAATTAGAGTTTTTTTTTTTTTTTACATTAATTTGGATTTTGGGTAAGCTAATTAATAAAAACTGAAACTTTTTTTTGCATTAATTTAAGTTTTGAGCGGGCTAATTATAAAAAAAATAGGGCTTCTTTTGCATTAATTTAAATTTTAATTGTGCTAATTAAAAAAAAAATTGGTGAGCTAAATAGAGATATAGTATAATATAGAGAGGGAAAATTGTAAATTGAGAGTGGGCTTGAGTCCATCATTGCCTAAGAGTGGACTCGCCCCTGCTTCTGAATGACGAAGAACTCGGCTTCCAGATGTGATATTGTTCTTTTGAGACCCATCAAACATTAAACTTGACAAATCCATCCGGTGGACGCAACCACCCAATCCAAAATTCCACTTATGATCTTAGCTAGGAATTTTTCTTTTTTTATTGGAATTTATGTTTTGCCATGATCACCTGCTCCCATATGCAGGAGCTCTTTTAGGAACACTTATTATGCTGTTAGTATGACTGTTATGATGCACAATGGGAATGATAACTGTGGCATTCATTTGTTTATCTTGAAATACAACATTACACCTACTTTTCCAAATCTCCCACATAGAATAGATCAATGTATAGTTCCAAGAATACAAACTCCAAACTGAGAACTACCAAATTTTTCTATGCAGCCATGATGTGAGAAGGTGAATGAAATGACTGATTGGGTGGCGATTTGACGAACATAGAAGTAAAGTAGGTCTAAATCGCGCATACGAGATCGGACTGAAGCAGAACCTGAATTAGGTTTTCCTCCTTAAGTTGCTGGCATCAACGTATATCAACTATTTTATTGGAAATTGCTTATTTTTTATCATCAGAGAAACTAAAATTTAAAGTATGCAACTGAGCCAGCCCTTCCTTGACCGTTAAGGGAGAAGGATTATGTGGATGAATAACTTCTCCCATCCAATTACTATGCCAAAAGGATACCTCACCTTGACCAAATCCACCGGCCGATGTGCTGAAATTGGTGAAAATGATGTCGAAGTATAAGCCAAAGTTTGGAAGATGTAGCTGAAGATTGAAAACTACCATAAATCCTCTCTCTCTCTCTCTCTCTCTCTCTCTCTCTCTCTCTCTCTCTCTCTCTCTCTCTCTCTCTCTCTCTCTCTCTCTACCATATTATTGAAGTATCATTTTGTCATATAAATAAGTTCCATTAAATATACTTTATGACATTTTTCCTTGTAAACCAAACATTGTATATGCTAGAGATCTAACCTCCTTCACATTTTAGTTTACATGCTTTCTGCCAATTAACCCAATGCATGCGTTCTTGTAGCGCCATTTTGGTTCCATGAAAATGCTTTAAAAATACCTTTAATTCTCCGAAGATCCCGTTGATGCACCACTACACAAGAAAGAGTATGCATAGGTAAACTAATGAAAATTGATAAAGTGGTCTTTCCCCCAAAAGAAAGGAAATTAGCTTTCCGACCCTCCACCTTATTGATGTTTTTGAACTAGAGAATCAAAATAGACGGTTTTCCCTTTACCTATAAATAACGGAGCTTCTAAATAAGTAAGACGGAACTTCTTATTTTGACAACTGATAATATCTTTCATCTACTCGATCCTACCGTTATTCAGATTTTTTGATGTACTAGGCAGGTGCACGTGTGTTGCACATGTCAAGTTAATGAACTAACACGAGGGTGCATATGAGAGCTCCGACCTGGTTAGTACTTCGCCGAGCAGGGGCGACACTGTCCCAGGGCAAGCAGGGCCCACTTCCCAATGGGGCCAAAAAATTATTATATTTTTTTTATTATTTTATAATTATTTTTCTTTTTTCTTATTTCAACCCCTATTCTCTTCATCTTTAACTTTTTAACCCCTACTTTTCATATTATTTTTTTTGACCCAATTGATTTTGTCATTTATCTCTCTATTTCTTTTCACCCAATTTTTTTTGTCTTCTTACCGTTTCTCTCTCATTTACATTGTTTTACTCTAATTTAATTTTTCTTGCACTCCTATATATTTCTCTATTAGTTTCTACAGTTTAAACTTAGTTGTTTTTTCCATGTTATTTGTGTTTTTATTTCTCAAAATTAAATTATTTTTGTTAAACTAAAAAACTTTTTTCTAATACCCATTTTATTTGATACATCCATATCTTACACACACACACACACATAATATATATATATATATATATATTTATATTTTGTAATAAATACTGAACTATCAGTTACCACTACATTTGGAACGGTATTGGTACCGTACGTTATTTTGTAATTGGTAGCGGTATTGTATCTTCAATACCATGGTAATACCGTACCATATCGCAATTATAGATTTAAAAAATTAGTTAATACATATTTTCTTTTATATTGTTAAATAAAAAATTATAGCCAACAAATATTATTAATAAATCAAAAACAAGAATAGAGATATGACACATCATATATATATAATATATATAATTATGGCTTCTTTATTATCTTCATATATCTTATATATAAAAGAAAGAAACGCTGGGCAACCCTAAAAACGCTAACGGTATTTCTGTAATTATTTATTTTTAATATTTTTTCTATACTTTCTCTACTAATTTTTTAACTATAATTTTCAACAATTATTAATCTCCTATTTTTCATCAATATATCTCAAATCTTAAGAGATAAAACTAGAAATTCGATTTGTTAAATCTTAGTCTATTTATTTGGATTATAAATCTTAATCTTATATATAAAAGAAAGAAACGCTGGGCAACCCTAAAAAACTCTAATGATATTTCTGTAATTATTTATTTTTAATATTTTTTCTCTACTTTCTCTATTAATTTTTAACTATAATTTTCAACAATTATTAATCTCATATTTTTCATCAATATATCTCAAACCTTAAGAGGTAAAACTAGAAATTCGATTTGTTAAATCTTAGTCTATTTATTTGGATTATAAATTTTAATATGTTACATTTAAAAAAAAAAACTAATGTTATATAAAATATGAATAATACTACATTATTAAATTTTACTATATTAGTGTACTATATTTTCT